GCGAAAAGATCAAGTTTGCTTCCTGGGAAAATAAGGTCTAAGTCTCTGTGAGCTTCTATGTATAATTAATGCCCGTATTTTATTGTAAAGTCTAGAATTGATTAAAAATTAAAGTTATAAAGAAGAAGAAAAATTGATGGCCAATATTTGTACAGACAATAGAAATAGGTGTGTTGGGAGTGGGCAAAATAACTAGATATATGGTTTAAGTAAAATAAGGACACCCCTAGTCATATAAATGGTTAGAATCTTTCATGTAGCTATCAATTAATATTAATCGCCAATAGCTCTGTTAGTGTAATGGATATATCAATCTTGGAGAAGGGTTTGATTTGGTATCCCCCTTTAGTAGAAGTCTTGCTAGTATGGTTGATGGGAAAAGCATTTATTAACAGTAATTTAGTACAAAAGTTCACAGAGATAAAGAACTAGCTAGAGAGGGGAGAAAACCCACTCATTAGATGAAATTAATACTACAACAGGTCATCAATACACAAAATGCTTTAGAAGTGGAGAGCAGGTCTGTATTTTTATTATACTATAATTAATTATCATTAAATATAAAAAACTGTAATCGTGCACACTTACAGTTAAATTAAACCATATAAAATGAAAGCTAATAATCTTCAGATTATTTTTATGCATTGCATGTTTTACTTTTTATCATGGCTTCTTTTTTGAGTAAAACATTTTTCAATATATATAGCAATACTGCAAAATGCACCTTAAGCTATAAATATTGCACCATTAGAGCTTGAGGTGCAATGTGAAAAGCATTAATGGGATTTTGGAAGGGCAACATTATTGAGCTCATAATGCACCATTTAGAGATTGAGGTGCCATTTGGAGTAGTGAGTACTGATACCAGAAAATGTGTTTTCGTACTATAAATTATAAAATTCATTTCATTTTAAATAATATCGATATCAAATTAAACATGAAGTTTTCTTGTGTGCAATACTTTTGTTATAACAGTGATTGAGATAGTTCATGAGAATTTTTCTTTTGAACCTGGCTCAGTTTGGAAGGAGTACAAATACATACAAAGCAACACAAAATGTAAGGTTTTGCACTGTACGTGTTTGTATTTATACTCCTTCGAAACTGAGCTAATAAGAAAAAGAAGTTAGCTCTTAAAAATAGAAAGGAATCGGCGGAAGAATGCACCCATCAAAATTTGTGAGAACTTTTTCTCATAGGTAAAAATGACTAACTGATGAACATCATTTATGTTATGTCAGCTACAAGAGAATATTATGACTGAGCTTGAGAAGAAGCACTACAAGGAGGAAATTATATATAATTGATGTAACAATTGAATTCTCTCTCCTACACAAGGACATTCTGAAAGCAAATAGGGACAGTTCTCACCACATAGAAATTCTTACTGACTACTTGGAATAGAAAAAAATTATTACTTGCTTTTGAAGTACAGATCGACGAGTTTATCTAAGGAAAAACAACGAGAATATGACAATTTAACAAATAAAAATAAGCATTTTAAACACAAGGGTAATTTTTCTCTCCATATATAGTGTGTATATTAAGTTCTCTCCACGAGATTCATACCTACTAAAGGCCCAAACACTGTAAAAATTTAAGGCTCTTCCCTGAATTACCTCTTATTTCATAATTTGAAGTCTCCAATTAAACTCTTAAGTTAAAGCATTAATGTTCTAGATTTGTTATATATCTTTGTTTTAGCAATCTTTTATTTTTCTTGATATCGAAATAAATTAAATAATCACTCTTCCATTTGATTTTGACATTCTATATATATTTTGGCTTTATGGATTAAGCTACTGCTCCATGCATGCTCATGCTCATGCTCATGTTCATGAGAGTCACTATTTTCTTACTAGTTTACAATATGCACGTACATAACCCAATTTAGTAAGAACTAAGAAGAATCTCTCACCCATGTAGAGTGCAAAATCTTATATTTTGTATGTATTTATAGTGTACATATTTGTATTTATACTCTTTCCAAACTGAGCCTAAGGTCAGGTTTGATCCTTCTGAATCAAAAAACGCTCAGGGTTGTTGGTGTTGATTGGTTTTTCACTACTGTGAGTTGGAAGGAAAATGATATATATAGACAAGATAAAAGAGAATACTGTAAATTAACCTACCAGAGATATATCAAGTAATATTGGTGGAAACAAGTTAGGCAGGAACTCTATAAAATGCATTTTCATGGGCAACCCCCCATCTCGAAATCCTAGAGGCAGTTCTGTGATAAGACAAGTCATACATATTTTTTGTTCCGAAACAAATATCCCGATTTTCTCCAAAACTAGATGGGTGAAGGCCCTCAAAAAGGATTAGCCAAAACAAAAAATACAGCTGATAAGGGCAAGCGAGGGGATTTTCTACTGGTGATTGCCAAATGTACATTAGGCTCCACCTGTTTCCCCATAGAATGGACATAAAATTTCCTAGCTAGGCTATGAAATCTTTAAGATATGATTCTGACCCGCTCTTCCAGAGTAAAAATTTTGTTGTTTTCCAACAATTTTTCTGATGTAAATGACAAGGAAAACTATGTTTTCATCTTAAAAGGGATGAAAATGCAACTCTAATAATATTTCATCCAGAAAAAGTATATACCAGTTGATGGAGAAACAAATGCAGACCTTTGTTTCAACATAAAATGGATAGAAATTTTCAAGTTGAAACTTGAATACAAGCTACATTTTCACCCTTAAAAATGAAAACTTGTTTTTTTTTTTTGTTTTTTCACCTCACATCCATTTTATGAAAACATAAATGATAAATGTAACCATTAATTGTAAAATTTTAGAGGCACTAAACTGATTAACTTCCTTCTCTTTCTTTTGGTAAGAGATTAACTTGCCTTTGGGTAACTGTTGGCAGAAGCATATATATTAAAACGGATTATCAAATTAATCAGGCAATGACCGGAAAGATGATTGGGGTTTAACTCCAAACAATAGACCAAGCATCCACCTTGTGCCCAATCAATTATATCTCTCTCTATTTTCTACTGAGGTAATCCATGTGAAGAGGTTGCATGGTTAAAATTAAGATCCCTCTACCTCTAAAATGGAGAAGCTTGATGAGCTTAGTAGCATTAATGATTGCAGCGTATACCTAGCTTTCTGCCTCGCTCGGCAACATACATACAACCAACAACCCGCCTGATAAATAGATTTAGATTCAATAAATGCTGCCTTTTGGTACCCGATAGGGATCCAACTGGTACTTAGTACTGGCACCATTCCCTATGGTACAGATCTAATGGTTAAAAAGCTACAGTGCATGTGCAGTGTGGGGCCCCCATTGGATTTTTTTTTTCTCTTTTCTTCTCTTTTGATTGTTGGATTATTATCCCAATCCCAAGGATCAAAATCAAAATTAGGTAAGGCTCTTCCATGCTTTTTTGTGGATGGATTTACAATTCACTTTCTAGTTTACATGCACATATATAATTTGAATACGAGGCGAGGCGAGGCGAGGATTATTAATTATATTTGTATGACAACTCAACTCAACTCAAGATGAGATTCATGAGTCCGCATATGTTTATTCAAGGGTCAGCCGTCCAACGTTGATACAGAGCGTTGGCTTACAGCAGTCAGCAGGTCCCAGCTCGAGATTAATCATAGATCCTCCGATCCTGAATCAGACATGTACAGCACACTACAGCTGGAAACTTGCCTCCCCCAGTCACCGGTAATTGTAGACAAAACATCAAGTACTTGGGTTTGAGTTGAGTATACCCCCTCTCTCTCTCTCTCTCTCTCAACGGAATTGAAAGAACATGAGACCAATCGACCTAGAAATCGTCGTCCCCGACATCTAATCCAATATCACTATCGACTTTCTTGAACAAATTACCATTAACTTCTCACAGGCACATCCCACCATGCATTGCGAATTTATACGTTATTACTCACGAGAGATGTTCCCAATGCATGGTGAGATGTGCCTGTGTGAAGCGCCCTGTGAGGAACAGATCCCAATTCTTCCATCACACCTTCCCGGTGGTTTTTAAGCAGGATGCAATCATATAACATTAAGTCTGGATGTGGAGTTGTGGACTGGGAACTGGAACCCCACCCCCCCCCCCATAATAAGACCTACACAGAAGGTTTACCTTCATCTCTCCCCTCCCCCAAGCCCAAGTATGTATCACTAGTTACAACTGCATCAATGAATACAACACAAATTATAACTGCAGAAGCAATGGCAACAGCGAAAGATGGATGGATTCTAAGCTGACTGGTCCATCATTAGTTAAGTTATTAATGCCAGAACTTGGAAGACGCTAACAAATATGAAAAAGAAAGAACAAAAGAAGAAGCATGGACAAGCAGAAGTTAAAAGACTAGTGTAAACAAATGAGTAGACAGACTGAGGACTGAAAAAGAGAGACGAAGGAGACGAGCACTGAATCGAGGACAAAAGATCAAGGCGGAAAATAGCAGAAAAAATGCATTCATTCACTCGACTGCGCACACATGCAAATGCAAGTAAGATGCATTACTTTTAATTACTTACTCGTCTTTTTCTCTCTTCTCCTCTTCCCTTCCTTAAGCACATCTGTCCCCGTTTCTTTCAGGTTTCCAGGTCTCAAAACGAGAAGATACATTGTAGAGCGAGAAATAAATGTAAGAGAGGAGAAGGTGTTGAAAGAAAGGTGGACAGATGTGAAGGGTCGGAAATTGCAGCCTTGCATGCCACATACACGTTATGGACTTGTTGAAAATTGGTCGATCAACTGTCAACCTCTCCTTAAACAAAAATAAATAAATTGTCAACCTTCGATAACATTTTGCTGACTTGCAGACAAGAGATGATAAAAAAAAAAAGAGAAGCCTTTCTTCATCTTTTAAGTTTCTTACTGCAAGTCTGCAACCAACCATGCTTTTAGGACTTGGAGAAAGAGAGAATGAAGAAACAGTTAGCATTAACGTATATACTACAACCATGTATTTAGAATTTGAGACAAAAAGAAGGCCAAGTTAACATAGAAATTTTGAAAACCTTAAACCCTAACAAGCATTCCTGTTCAGACTATGTTTCGCTACATGGGAAAGATGAAAACAAACCTTGTACTATGTAGCTAGATAGACTAGGTTCTCATTTAAACCCAATAAAACAGCAGTTGCAGTTAGAGTTAGGGTGGGGAAGAAAGAAGGTAGCAGTGAATTGAGCAATGGCCCATCAACAATAATGCACTACGAAACAAGAAGAAATACAATCTAAACAGCAGTAGAAGAGGTGGGATTCGGAAGGGAAAAAAAAAAAGAGAGAGAGAGAGAGAAAGAGAAAGAGACCTAATTAAATTCATCTCGAGGGAGCAACGTATGGAAGAATTCTCAAACGAATTTCCCATTCCATTTGTTCTCCGTTCATCATCGACTCTCAGTTGTTGTTCTTCTTCTTCCTTGTCGAGGAGGTTGCCTTTGTCCTTGGTACCAGTACAGTGGTGAAGAAAGGAATTGGTGGATGTAGCGAGACTTAGAAGTAGCAGTAGTAGTGGTAGTAGTAGATGCTGATGCTGATGCTGATGAAGAAAGAAAGAAAGAACGAGAAAGAGAGAGAGAGAAGCAGTTGTTGTTGCAGTAGTAGTGATAGCTAGTAGCAGTAGTAGTAGATTGGATTCTAATTACTTTCTCTCTTAGGGTTTCTTACCCAGAGTGTGCTTGTTGTTGTGCATCCAAACCTTAAGCACGTGCCTCTTCACACAGGTCTCCGTACAAAACTGCTGCACGGCGGCCTCGTCGTGCTTCTGAATCCTCCACCCAAGCTTCTCCGCGAAGGCCAGCATCTTGTCTTTCTGCTCCTGCGTGAACTTAGTTCTGAACCGTTTCTTCGAACTCCCTCCACCGCCACTAGGGTTTGAGACGTCGTCCTCCTGGTCCTCCCTGCTTTGGGCTCCACCACCACCTCCCGAGGTCGACGGCAGCGCCAGCGGGCGATGATGCGGTGCCACATGCAGGTACCCCGCCGGGGTACGATAGTACGGGGAGAATTGATGGTGGTAGACTTCCCCTTCCGTCTCCTTGCGGTGGAAGTTACGGTGGCAGTTGCAGGCGGCGCATTTGAGGGCGTCTAGCGTGCCTTCCTCTCCAGCGGCCATGAACTCTCCACATCCATCGACGGCGTGGCCTCCGATGCTGACCGCATGGTTTTTTAAGCACTCCCTGTACCTGCTGACAGTTTTTCTCCCCGACGAACCCCCATCGCCGCCTGCACCTGCCATTTTGGCTCTAGACGAGTTGCCAAGAGATTCGTAACTGGCTGATACCGGCATCCCCATCTCCTCGTCTTGCTCTTCGTGATCGTCGAATTCCATTTTTTCTTCTTTTATCCTTCCTTTTTCCTCTCTGTCCCACTTAAGTTCGCAATTCTCCTAATTTCAAGCTTCTAAGATGATAAAAAACAAGAAAAAACTTCACATTGAGATGGTCGGGGAGGCAGATCCACCACCAGCAGCAACAGCACCGCCGGCGGTGAAAGTTTGTATTTTATTTTTTTCAGGCTCTGGTTTCAACTTTTTTTTTTTTCCTTTAGAAAAGAAGATGATAAGAGGGAAGAATGTAGAGTGAGGTCATCAATTCCCCGCCTGCAAAAAAAGAGATGTATTCCTTCAAGTCTTTCATATACTTTCCGTTCCAGAACTCTCACTCTCTCTCGCTCTCTATCTATCTATCTATCCGTCTAGCTATAATGTATCTCCGATGCCTAAAACCAAAACCCTCTCCTTGCCGGTTACTGCATCTTAGTTTCACCGGTTACAGCCGGTACCTGCTTGATTTATATTTTTGTATTCTACCGATTAATTACTGCGGTAAAAGGAGATGGACGGAGTTTACCAAATTTACTTTCCCACGTAATAAATAAGAAGGGAAAACATGAAAATTAAAATTCTGGTATGTCGCGTCTGAGTTGAAACTCGAAATGACGGGAAAGGGGTGGAGGGGAGTGTTTGGAAATTAAGAGAGAGAGTGAGAGAGAGCTTCTATAGTTCTACGTCTCTGAGCCAATCGTGTCAAATGAAGGTATTTTAGGGAAAGAAAGAAAGAAATAAATTGGTGCAGCTGGTGGATGAAGAGAGAGGCTGATGCTTGAATATTTGGAAGCAAGGCCCGGTTGCAGTCGGACACGGAATTAACTTCCTAAAAAATAAAAATGTCGGCATTTAAGGCTGCTTACTGCATACGTGCGCCCATCTCCGACATGCGTGACGCCTCTTCTCTTCTTCGTCAATCGTCAACTCCATGCTCAAGTCATGCTGCTACAGCTGCTGCATTGCATCTATGTTTCTCCACTTTTAAAACGCACTCACTCTTTTCTTAATGTGTTTTATTTATACATAAGGTTAACACATTAACAAATAAAAAACAAAAAACCGGTCCCTTGGTCTGACTCATTCTCTGTCTCCATTTCAAAATTACAGCCTTTCAAATTTCAATGGGGAAGGCAGGGTTAGGGTAGGGCCGTAATATGGAATCGTTTCTTGTCCTTTTTCTTTTATACCCAAAACTAGAAAGACTTGATATTGGATGGACATCATCATCGGTCTTAATAAAAATACGGAAGACACAGGAGAAGCAACTAATCGGGTGTAAGCGTAACAGTTTATGTAATCAGAGTACAAGATACTTTTTTGCTCTCAAGGAATACAGTAGAGTAGACATGCCCACGCCCACGCCCACGCCTACGCCTAGCTATACCCCTGATCACTACACTAATCAGTAATCACCCCAGCTCTTTCTCTTTTTCTTCTCTGTACCCAATTGTCCATCTTTTTGTTTTCATCTCACCTCTTTCTCTTTTTTCCTCTCTGTACCCAATTATCCATCTTTTTCCTAGCTTAATTAACACTTAAGCTATTTCACGTCATTTCATCAACCGGTCGAAATTAACACTTGACAGTTTCTGGTTATGTTTAATAACAACAACACAACACATTGATGATGAGAATAAAACGGGAAAAAAAAAAAAGAGAAAAAACAAACGAGATGTGTGTGTGTATGTACGAACAATAAGAGTGGCCTTGGATTTTAACCAATATGCACAATGGAATTAGGAAATATTTAATTGAATCTTTTTCCTTTTTTTGTTTTGTTTTTTCAAAAGAGAGAAAGGGACGTTACATCTTGGGACTTGGGGGAGAGAGAGGGGGTACTGTTCAAAGGGGTGGGGTGGAGGTGACCTGGCCAAACAAACTCTCCAATGAGCGCACTCTCATTACAACCAGAACAAAAAATAAATAAAAAAAAGAAAAGAAAATATTCACGAATATATACATTAATTTTAGAGCATTACTAAATACTAAATACTAATAATTAATATTTTTATTATTAAGATAAAAAAAGGAAAAATATGATGGGAGGTCATATGGTTCCCACCAGGAGTCATGTGACCCCTAACCAAGCCAACGGGGGACGTCTGACGTGACGCCCTGATGCCGTACGTCAGTCCTTCCTTGTCAGCTGGCGGGAAACCGCTCAGAACTATTGTAATGAGAGGGAGAGGGGGGGGGAGGTGTAACTGCGTAATTAGGTAAACGTTTGTGAATAATGTGTAAGAATTAAACAATGCAAGTGTAAAAAAACACTGTCACACGCTTCGTTGCGACAGTGCTGTTACTGTACACCCAAAGGCCAAAGGCCAAAGCTAAGCCACAGCCCACAGGGAACAGAGAGACTCATCAGTCTTCTCTCTTCCGTCGTCGTTCACCTCACGGTTCAGTGGGACTGGGTTGGCTTGCTCTTCTCCTCTCTCATTCAATTTCCGTTCCGTTCCGTTATCTTAGGCTATAACAGTAGTAGTTTTGATAAAAAATATAAAATTATAAAGAAAGTGAGAGTATTTGTATTTGCGGGGAAAAGGGGAGTGGATGGTGACAGGACGAGAAAAGAGTGGGTCGACCGTGATTTCCATTTCTATTCTTTGGCAGCCTTTTCTCTCTTGTAAGATTGCATAGCTCCTCTTCCCTGCTTTGTACTACAAGAGGGAAGGGCCCCATCATTCCCTCCCCACCATCACCCAACCCAACACACTCTTTGGTTTCTTTCTTTTGTTGATATACTTAGTTTTCTTTTTTTCTTCCTTTTTGGTACACCAATTTGGATTTCTCAATCATTTCTCGTTTTATTTTTTATTCTTCATCATTTTCTTTCCTTCAAAAATAAGAAAGATCATGATTTTACAATACATTAATGTAAAGACTAAATGGAGATGAAAATTTTCTCTCTTGGGTATTTTCTGGGTAAATACTAAAGCAGATTGGGTTGCATTTATATATATATATATATGTATGTAACTGAACAAGTTGAGAGATGAGAGGGATCAAGTGCCTGACAACTCCTACCACCACCATCACTAACAACAACAACAATGATCAATGGTCTACTGGTTTTTTCTCTTTTAATTCTCCTTCTCATCATTACCTTTATTATATTCTTGGTTTTGGCTCTTCTATTTCCTTTATTTTTTTTACATAATGATTAATGGTTTTGTTATTACAGTAACAATTCTTCTTTCTTTTTCAATTTTTCAATTAAACCACAGCCCATAAGGAGAAAAATTAAAGGCCTGAAAAAAATAAGAATGGGGAATATATCTGAATTTTTTTTTTTTTAGTTTAGGGTACATGCATATGAGATGGCGAGGTGGTCGGAGGTAATGCCAATAGGCTGGGGGCAACCGCGTGCCTCCTTTTTGAGACTAAAGTTAATCAATCACTTCTGTGTTTGGGCTGACATGTTAAAATGCCTCCTCCACTAGCATCAAAGGCTTGCATCAATATGGACATATTCTCACCTAATAAGAATGACCCGTGACAACTCCCCGTGTGCACATACTTCTTTCTTATTAATTATTAACACTTCAAACTACCATCATCACATTAATCATTTTCTTCTCCTTATCATTCTAGCTTTGGCTTCACGTCCAGCAGGCCATAATTAAACTGTTAAATTAAAATATGTTGGAGTTTTTATTGTTCAATCCATCTGACATGTTGGGGAATTGAGAATTTATCACAATGGAAGGGATGGCTTGAAACAATATATTTAGAAAATCACTAAATTTTTCAAAATATATTTTTATCCTTTTTATTTTTATGTACATATATATATATATATATATATACATACTTGGTATGGTATGAGCCCTTCTACTAGTTATATTAAAAATAAAAGATATCCAAGTGGAGATGGAATTTCTTGAAATCGAAAACCCTAAAAACACTTTCAAGCATGACATCTATTCACACATTAAGAATATTTCCTCATGAATTTATGTTCAAGTATGAGAAATATTCCCGATGTTCAACTAGATGACATGTTCTCAGAGTGTATGCACGGTTTTTACATTTATCTAATATATTTGTGCTATACACACATCCTTATTCTCCATTCCTATGTAATATTTTCCATTGGCAGTTTTACTCTTTTTGTGTGTGTGTGTGTTTATGTGTAGAAGAATTGAGGATGGGGCAGAGCAGTTTCCCCAGCTGCGGTTATGTGGGGTTGATCTTCTGCCTCCTAATTGGAAGGGGTACCATGCAATTAACCATCTCAACTACTGGGTCATTAGTTTCCCCAACTGTTAAAGAATATATTTATTTTTTTATAGAAAAAGAGAAAAAATCTTAATTTGGCTAGAAAGATATCTAGCAGAAAACGTAGATACCTTTGTGAACTGAAATATATAATATATTAATTAAGTAATGATAAAATAATAATACATGCTGTTGTTTATTTAATTTACTCGGAGGTGTTAATTTATTCATCAAATTTCTCATAAATAATTAAAACCTCATTAATTAAGGGTTTCCCAGTAACCCCATAATAAGACTTTCATTATTTCATCCCAAGAGTTGGGCCAAATTTTTACTACTTTGGGGCTTCTCCGGCCGGCAAATTTTTGCTGCCTTTACCGCTTACGTTTTCAATTCATATATATCTCTCAATTGAAGCAGCAAAGACCAAATAAATATATATGGTAGCTAGTCTTATAATTAACGGAACTACTCACTCAAAACGAAACACGGTTGTGAGGCGAAAATCAGCTACCAAACGTGCACAATCGTTTATTCATAAACTGGTGCAATTGTTGCTTGTTCTCTGTAAGGTAGGTAATATTGGTCTGTTTTTTTCATGGCTGCGTTTGGTAGTAGCAAGTAAATAACACAGGCACAGCACATGCAGCGGCCTGACTGTATGATCTCATTCAAACGGGGTTTAAATCTTTTTTCCATATATATATATATATATATATACATATAGAGAGAGAGAACAGATAACACTTGCACTAATCAGGCAAAGATGCAAAAGCAATGGAAAAAAGTTCCCTTTTATACAAGAAAAAATCTACTTTATGGAAGGAAGAATTATTTGCTCTCTTTTTCTGCAAGTGCAAGAGTATTTGCTATGCCATTCGTACTACTGAACATGATGGAAGTACAATTCAGCAATAAGCATGCATAGGGCAAAGCTACTAAAGAGCATCTAGAATATCTCCCTTCACCATTGGAAACACTAGAGTATGAAAAAAAGAGGATTCCTAGATATGAAGCCTCATGTGAGAACCTCAACGTCAGCCTCATTTGAAAGCTACAAATAGCTTTAGATATATAACACAGACCTTCCCCAAAGACGTTTGCCCCTGCATGAGGTGGACCAGAGTTCCCCATTTCAGCAACAATAGACATTATCTGCAGCTTTCCAGGAGCTTTTCATCCAAAATGTGTAAACCTTAAATCTTCTTTCCTACTGACTTGGATTATTCCTCTTCTTCTTCTTCTTCTTCTTATTGGGGTGCTATCATTTAATTTGAATGTATAGCATTCAGCAATCGACATTTGCAGTCAAACCAATAATGCAACACTAAAAAGCCAATATAAGAATCATATATGGTTTAATTAATTAATATAATTTATTCAACAACCTATTTATACATTACGAATTAGACTTATCATCATTTCTTTCTCTCTCTCTCTCTTTCTTGTTTGGTTGAGAATTTTCAAACAATTTCGAACACCAGTATTAAATGCCTCATAGAGCAACTTTGGGATAAAAGTTGCATTTTAATGTTTTTTTACAATGGAAATAACATTTCCACATTTTTGTCTATGTGGGCTCTTAGGGCAGCAATTGAGCAAGCTAGTCGAATTTTGGCATGTCTTGGCTTGATTCGACTAAAATACTATTAGGTTTGGGTTTGAGTTTGAGTTCAACTCAAACT